TTATTTATTTTTATTTAACAGGGCTGGGTATTGAAGCCAGGGAGCTCCGCCACCAAGCTCCATTCCAGCCCTTTTTATTTTTTATTTGAAGACACAATCTCACTAAGATACTGAGCTGGTGTGGAACTTGGCAGTCCCCTGCCTCAGCCTCCTGACAGCTAAGACGACAAGTGTGTGCCACTCCACCCTGGGAAGTACTCTGATCTTTAAAAGGGTTTTATTTTTTCTGGCTGGGCTGGTGGGGGCGCCTATAATCCTAGCAAGGTCAACCTCAGCAACAACTGAGAACCCCCACCCCCTCGGAAAAAATTCAAAAAATTACAAAGGCCTGAGGGGATGTGGGTCAGTGGTTAAGAACCCCTGGATTCAATCCTCAGTGTCAGAAAAAGAAAGGTCTGTTGGGCTGGGGTGTGGCTCTTTTGTGGAGAAGAACTTGCCAGGAGCACACCCAAATCTTGGGGTCAGTCCCCTTGGTTGGCTCCTCTCTCCCTCTCTCTGGCCAGTCACAGCCCTTCCCTGGCCTCCATCTGGGTCTCACCTCCTAGGATCTCTCCTCGTCCTCCTCCCTTCCCTGCTGCACCTCTAGCTCCCACCTTGTGCTGTCTCCGCAGCTGTCTCTGCACCACTGGGGAGCCAAGGCCCTGGCCTGTGCCCTGTGTCCTGTCCTTGTTAAACAAAGAATGTAAAAGTCTCGTGTTCTGGAACTCATCCGCTGGGGCCCCACAGTGGCGTGGCCAACACGTGGACAGCCCAGGCTGATGACCCCGAGCTGTGCCCAACCTCGAGGACGGTGCCCCGGGCCGCATTTCTGCCAACTGCCCCTTTTGCGGCTCACGGGCATTCTTCGTGAACTGACTACAAAGGCTTCCCACTGCAGTACCGGTAAGCACACACCTGTACAAACTGTGCGCACCTGTCAGTCAGGTGTGGCATGCCTGTGAGCCCGGCTGCTTAGCAGGTTGAAGCAGGAGGATGGCAACTTTGGACCCACCTTGGAAACCTAGTGAGGACCTGTCTCAAAATAAAAGGACAGGGCTGGTGGCCTGCCTGCCTGCCTAGCATGTGGCAAGGTCTGGGTGTGATCCTCAGTCCTGCATAGAGAAAGGAAAAAGGTCTCTCTTTTTTTTTTTTTTTTTCGTCCTGGGCATTGAACCCAGGGAGCTTGACCACTGAGCCACATCCCCAGTCCTCTTTATTTTTGGAGAGAACATGTCGCTAAGTTTCTTAGAGCCTTGTTAAATGGCTGAGGCTGGCTTTGAACTTGCCATCCTCCTGCCTCAGGTTCCCCAGCCGCTGGGATTACAGGTGTGCACCACCGCACCGAATATGTCTCTCTTGTTGCAGATACAGTGCTCCCTTGACACAAATATTGACGTAAAAAAAAATGTGAGGAAAATCATGCTAATCAAGGATATCACTTCAATAACATATTTAATATCTCTGAAATTCTATTCTGTGTTAATGCAACCCACATTAATAACCAAGCTTAGTGGGGGATCACGTTAAAATATTACAAACCCAACCTGACGTTGAACCTCCCCACCTAGTGAAGAGTTGTAAAATATTGTGTAAGTGTAAATCAAAATCATTAAAAACATCTATTGAATGTTAATTTGACTTTTCTCATTTTAAAATGATGTGGTCAGAGGGAAAGAGCTTGGTGTGACACTGTTTAGTGTAGCAGGAGCTGGTTTGGGCATTCTAAGCTCAATCGAGCTGGAGAGCCTGGCCCACAGACTGCACACTCCTAAGGAAGAAGCAACTCAAACGTTGACAACACTTAGACATGGGAGGCTGAGGCAGGAGGATCACAAGTTTGAGGCCAGCCTCAGCAACTGAGTGTGACTCTGCCTCAAAATATAAAGGAAGCCAAACTGAGTGGAGCACGCCTGTAATCCCTGCAGCTTGGGAAGCTGAGGCAGGAGGATCAGGAGTTCAAAGCCAGTCTCAGCAATGGTGAGGTGCTAACAACTCAGTGAGACCCTGTCTCTTTTAAATAAAAAATAAAAAGGTCTGGAGATGTGGCTCAGTGGCTGAATGCCCCTGAGTTCAATCCTGGGTACTTAAATAAATGAATAAATAAATAAAAAGGAAAAGAACTTTTAAAAATACTGAAAATAAAGTCAAAAGGGCTGGAGATGTGGCTCAGCAGTTAAGCACCCCTGGGTTCAATCCCTAGTGCCAAAAATAAAACGATGAACTCTCGATGGCTGTCCACCATGGTCCCTCTGCAACCAAATGCCCTGAGGTATGTTAAGCAATTCCTCACCTTGTTCAATAAATCGGCCCTGGTTAATCGGAATATAGATACTAATGTTGGTGCTGCTTAGCCAGACCATCTGCTGTCTGGAAAATGTGCACTTTAATACCCAAAGGAGGTGTGCAGCCATTATTACCACTTTCTTTTTCCCTTTAGGGGGTGGGGTATTGGGATTGGCTATCTGTGTCCTGCTGAGCTGCTTTTTGCCTGGTGTGTGGACCACCTGCAGGTTCTCTAGTGGCTGGGGGATGCTCCTAGCCTTCTGCCTGACCAAACAAGGCCCAGGACCTGCACTTCAAACCTGGGTGTCAGTGTGTCACGTCTCAGTAAAGTGTGGGAGGCCAACCTTACAGGTGACTGAGTTACACTCCCCAGCTGGGTGCTGAGGCGCTCAATCACAGAAATGGGTGTGTCTTGCTACAGCCCCATGGTGAAGCTATGCTCACCTGTTCCTTTGTAATATAACCCCTTGCCCTGTTTAGGAGAGAATCTTCCATGGAAGTGCCTTGTGTGTGTCCCCTCCTCTTACTGTGCCCTTGGGTGTGGCCTACCCAGGTGTCAGTCAACCTGCTGACAGTGGACATCATGAAGATAGACTCAGCCCCCTGAAACCTGACCCCTTGCCTCATTTGAATAGCTTCTCCTCAATAAAAGGGGTCAGCGCGTGCTCTCGCTCTCTCTTTCTGCAGACCCTTAAGGTCAGAGGAGCCGTCACAGCGACCCCAAAGAAAAAGGTATTTGTGTCTCTTGTGTGGTTATTTCGTGCAGCCCAGTTAGCCCAGTTTAACTAGAGTGATCCCTGAGCGTTTTAGTCTCCAGAACAGAAACCTGGCAATTAGTGTGATGCTTGTCAGAGTTCTGTTATCTGTAACCCCCCGTTTCTGTAACTTTCTGGGCTATAAAGCTGGGCTGCAGGAAAGCTGCTGCTGCTGTCTTGTTCCCGCCGTTTTGGGAGGGAGAAGCAGCCCGGCCGGTGGAGATAATAAGCTTGCTTTAATCTGATTTTAATTGGAGTCATGGTCTTTTCTTGCATCCTGGTCTTACACCTGGTACCTGAACCTAACCTGAACCAGTCTCAGACCATCAGCCTGTCGTTGCCTTTCCCAAGAGCTGTTTTGCAGACTTTCTAAAAGAGGAATTTGTAGGAAATAAAGCCAAAGATGGTGGAGATAGAAGAGACAAAGAGAAAACTAAACAACGAACAGAAATTCCTACCCCTGTGGAACTGACGTACTGGTAGGGGCATGGACAATAACAGTCATGTAATAATGGAGATAATCCCAGTGACAGTACAGTGAAGGAATGGACGCTGTAGAGATGGTGATGTGTAATGTGAGCTGAAATATTGTCCTGGGGAACACCTGAAGGAAGAGTATTTCAGGATGAAAAATGAGATCCCTTCATCTCCATCTTAGAAGAGAGTCAACCTTAGTTCACGTTCAAGTGAAAGAAAAACCCAGGTGGAAGCTACTTGGGGCTGCAACTTATCAAAGGTCTCAGATTCTTACTTGGGACCTGATAGGGCTTCTAAGAAGTGTTATTTTTCCCCCTCACAGAATTCCCTTCCAAAGAGTCACACAAGGGAATTCCTATTCCTGGTCACTTTTTCTCTGGTGTCTCCCTTTGTGATATGGGATCTCTTCCAGCTCTAAAATTCTACCCAAGGTCTGCGATGTAGCTCAATGGTAGAGTGTTTGCCTAGTAGCCCTGGGATGGATCTCAAGCACCACAAAACTAAATAAAAAATAAATATTCTAGCCAAGGCCAGAGCTGTGACTCAGGGTTAATCACTATTAGTGATTACTTTCACCCCGTGGGTCAATGATCTTAAGAACTTCTCCCTGCCTCACACCTGATCCCATATTAATCTATCTGCCAACCCTTACCTCACCCCAGAAATTTATTCCACATCCCATGCCCTCTACTCCCATAGAGACAGTAATTGCGTATTATTGTCTATGAAGCGGTGTCTCTGGATTCATCTGCCTCATGAAGATACAGAGAACAGACTTTGATCTCCATAATTTGAGTCCTACACCTCTGGAAACCATAAACTTAAACCAAAAGTTTCAGCTGACACCAGTTAGGTGCAATATAGGGTCATATTTTATTCCTTTTAGCTTTGAAAAAATACAAATGGGCAGCTTATAAATTAAAGAAATTTATTTCTGACAGTTAAGAAGAATGAGAAGTCCAATATCAATGTTCCAACAGATTTAATGTCTGGTAAAGACCCATTTCCAGCCCATAAAGGGAAACTTCAGTGTTCTCAAATGCTGTAAGGAGAAAAAATCTTTCATAAGGGCATTAACCCCATCTAATCACCTCCCAAACCATCACATTGGTGATGAGGTTTCCAACTATGAATTTTCCGGGGCACCCAGGTTCAGAGGGGCACGCTCAGCTGAAGAGAAGCATGGGTATGAGTGGCAGTCCCAAGGTTATGGGAACCTTTCCAGGAACCTTGGATGTGGTCTCCTCTGAAACTCTGAAACCGTTCAGTTCAGGGCTGGCTCTGGTAGTTCCTTCCATTAGTCTTCCAGCGCTGGACTGTATTTCCCAGAGCCCTTCACAGCCTGCGAGCTCTGCTCAGGAACTCGACCACTCTCTGATCTGAGGACCAGATGTGGGAGCCTCCGGGTTCAGGAGTGTGGAGATCACAGCCCCTGCTCTGCAGGGCGGAGGCATGCGAGTGAGAGCAACTGAAGAGGGCAGTGGGAAGATCGTGTGTATCCTCGGCCTTTGAATACACCCCAAACACGCTTCCCTCGCCCCCCGTAACCAGGCACGTTCCATCTTTGGGCTACAACCCAGGACTTTTTATTTTTGAGAACAGGGTCTAATTAAGTTGCTGAGGTTGGCCCTAAACTTGTGATCCTCTCTCTTGTCTCAGCCTTCCAAGTAGTTGACAGGAGTGTACCACTACGCCTGGCCTATAACTGCAAACTTTCTAAAATAATTTTCTTAAGGACCTGTCAACCTATCTTCACATTTTGGCTGAAGCAAACAGGACATTCTCATAGCAACTTCAGCTTTCCCAGGCAGGCACTTTATGGGGGCGGGAGGTGGAGGGTGGGATGAAGTCATCACAGACAACCTTAAACTACTAGAAAGCCATGCTAAAGTTTGGTGAAGTCTCCTAGTACAGGCATTTGGACAGTCCTTTCTGCCAAGTTTTTGCAATCCTCTTTCCATCATAATATGAAATAGTTGGCAAAGTAATTTTTCTTGATAAGGAAAAATACGACATCAGCTGACATGTTTCATAGCAAGAACCATTTTAAGTTGTTTGTTGGGTGAAACTGTCCTGGCATTACAAAATGTTCAGCATCTGGCTCTTAGATAATAAATTTTGTTAGCGCACAGTCATGTCTCTTTAAATTTTCACCCAGAAATTTTATTTATTTATTTTTTAATATTGGAGATTAAATACAGGAGCAATTGACAACTGAGCTACACCCCCGACCCTTTTAAACTTTGAGACCAGACCTGGCTAAGTTGTCCAGGCTGGCCTCAAATTTTTGATCCTCCTTCCTCAGCCTCTCAGATTGCTGGGATTACAGAAGTGTACCACCATGCCCAGCCAGGTGGGCACTCTTTGCTACCCTCCCAGTCTGCCAAGGGTTCTGGTTCTGGCCAAGTAGATGCAAGATGCTGGCCTCTCAGAAAGCTAATGTTTTCTCTATCCCTCTTCTTTCTCAGGGTCAAGTCTTTCCCCAGTCCTTCTTGGTATTCCCAACCCAGTTCAAAATGTGGAGGATACTAAATGGGTTTTCAAGCTCAGGGGTTGTAGGAGCGCTAGTGTGCCTGAAGACTCCATAAAGTTGCTCTGCCCATTCACTGCTCCTCCCCTTGTGGATTCTGGTAGCCTGAGAACCTGTACCAGTGAGTGTAGTTGGGTATGGATGGATGAATCCAGAGACTATATCCTGGGCAAATACTTCCATGGGACAGTTTGGACAAAGTCTGTAATGTATATATGTCAGCATCTCTATTTCCAGAAATGGTATTGCAAAACATTTTTCAGAATATTTTCATTTTCTGCTTTTTAATTTCTATTTCAAATTGTTTTTTCCTCCTGCTTTCAGGGGTTAGCATGAAAAGCAAAATTAGATAATTTGCTGGTAAATCTACTAAAATTTGGTTAATTAGATTTAATAGGCAATAAAATGTATGAAAGGAGGGGGAAATAATGTAACATATTTATCACCTGTGACTTGGTGACATACATCTAAGTGTACACATTGCCAATTCTTAGCTCTGCCAGAGCAAGGAGTTTTCACCACCAAAAAGGGATAAGAATGTGAGGTGATGGATTTAATTAGCTTTGGGAAACTGGGTCCCCCGGCATTTTCTGGACCTCCTAGGACACATCGGACACGTGCTTTTCTCAAACGTCTGGGCCAGAGCAACACGTCTTTGCATCTGCGTATTGCTAGCATAGAGAGAACAAAAATCTCAGGGATCCGGCGCACGGTGGTCCAGGCGTCGAATCCCGGGAGAATTTCGGGCGCGGGCCTACTTTTCCCACAAGCCACCGCGGCCAGAGCTAAGCGGCCTTGAACTACATTTCCCAGCGGGCAATGGGCACGCTCAATCTATGGCTTGGCTTCCGTCTTTGCTTGGTTCTTGTGCTTCGCAAGGTGGGTTGAATTCATCCCAGGATATTTATAGGCCCAGAGTCCTCTGGGTCAGGAGCCTGGGAAACCGGATTAAATTGGAGTCCGGCCTGAATCAGCCGGAGTGGCAGAGGAAACCCTTAAAGCGTGCAAGTCCGTAACGTGGTCGGCCTGTTGCCGGAGTCTCAGGCCCGCGAGTGCGTGACGGCAAAGCAGCAAGGTTGTCTGTGTGTCTTGATGCGGAATGCGTGAGCGCCTCTCTGTGTATGTGAGAGAGACTGCCTGCGAGGGAGACGGGACGTGCCACTTAACAGTAAGTATGGCTGAGAGGCCCCGACAGTGCGTGGCTGCGCTTGCGTCACAGGCACGTGAGGGGCACGTCCCTCCCGTGTGCGTCTCTAGCTGAGTTCTACGTGTTACTGTGACCCGCCGGAAGTTCTCTTCGGCTTCCTCCGCCCCCTCTCCTCAGAGCTATTTGGGTCTGACACAGAAATGCCTCAGCGAGGGACATTGGATACTGAAGCCTAAGCGAAGTTTTCCAGCAAGGAGGCTTTGACGTGCTCCTGGACTGGGGATGCCCGGGGCGTGCTTTCTTTGGGGTCTCTGAGGGTAGTTAGGGTGAGCAGGCAGGTGTGGACCTGGCGAGGAGTCACCTAAGTCATTCTGTGCTCCTCTGAGGCCGGATAATCATGACTCCCTTGTCCCTCCCTGGCCCTGCCATTTCCCAAAAGGAGCCTGACGAGGTGTAAAGAATTGTTTCACTTCCAAAAATCAACCTTTAGACTAGTTTTTTTTTTTCCTTCTTCTTCTTAAAATTATTGGGTTTAGGGTATGCTTTCCTTATTCGGAAATATGTGGGAGGTATATTAATCTTGATCTATTCCCCCCCCCCAGAGGATATTGGGTGCCATTGAGATAAATATCGCAGACATAAATATCGCAGACTTGGCATATCATTCAGTTCCTTCCATGTTTTCTTATTGTAAGCAGATCTAAAAAAGACTAGTCTCTTGGTAGCTCAGACCTGTAATCCTAGAGGCTCGGGAGGCTGAGAAGCAGGAGAATCACAAGTTCAAAGCCAGCCTCAGCCATTTAGCAAGGTCTTAAGCAACTTAGTGAGACCCTATCTCAAAATAAAAGAAAAAGAGGGGATGCTGGGGTTGTGGCTTAGTGGTAGAGCTGCTTGCCTAGCACGTGTGTTGCACTAGATTCTATCCTCAGCACCACATAAAAATAAATAAATAAAATAAAGATATACACACACTCATATAAAGGGCTGGAGATGTGGTTCAGTGCTTAAGCGCCCCTGGATTCAATCCTTGATATCAAGAATGAATGAATGAATGAATAAATGGAAACATAAAGGGTTGGGGATGTAGCTCAGTGGTTAAGCTCTTGGGTTCCATCCCCGCAACTGTCCCCCCAAACAAAACAAAAAGCTTTAGACTTTTGTGATCCAGAGTCAAGGACAACAATTTTCTTGTTGTGATTATGTGCAAAATTTGTGCTTAGGATTATTTTAATGATTAATGATAAACCCATGTGGTTAAATATTATGCAGCTAGTAAATTTTATACAGCATTAGATGTATGAAGGAAAATATATAGTACATAATGTTAATCAATAGTCAAATTTATAAATAATAGTACTCAAAAATTAAAATTATATATCAATCCCATTTAATAAGGTGGTTTTGCAAGGATTGAATCCAAATCACATTTTTGGATTTAAATTTTTTTTCCAAATAACATTTTCATTGTTTTATTAAAGTAGGGAAGTGATGTGGCTACATTTTATTACCCAATTATTTTGTCCTTCTGCTTTTCATACATTCTTTGATTCAATCTGAAAAAGCATGTTTAAAAAATTTCTATACTACTTCCTTAAAATAAATTCCCAGAAGTAGAATTTGAATTAGTATAATCAAACCTTTACTAATTGCCAGTCATACAGTCTTAGTATTGGGGGTGATAAAGAGACTAAAATGATGTAGTTGCCCTTCTTTTGCTTCTAGTAAGAAAGGTTACACCTGAATGGGAATAAATGCATTAAAGCAATTATAGAGATTCAGGTAAAATGTAGGTTGTTTTAAAAAATAAACAATCCTTGGAGAGGCCTTAAGGGTTTAGTGGCACTCTATAGGGCTGGATATGTGGCTTAGTGGTTAAGCACCCCTGGGTTCAATCCTGGTATCAATCAGTCAATCAATGAACTTCTCACTTTCTTGGAGCAGCTTTCCCTTCACACACATTCACCTACATATATATTTTAAGTAAAGGCATGGACACTGCATGAGCAGACAAAAAAAAAAGATAAGTACTTTCAACTGTATGAGTATATAACTTTCTAAATCTTTTTAATCTGATGTCTATCAGTTTTTCACATAGATGTTACAAATAGTATCATTTGTACATGTAGTTTTGTAACCTCATTTTCCCACTGACAGTATTCCTAGAATATTTCCGTGGTCGTTAATATTTTCCCTGCGTAACACTTCTTACATGAATATTTTATAATTTATTAAGCATTTCTTCCAGAAGTAGAATGTGGAACACTGCCTGAACGATTTTGTGTCCTTTCTATTCTGCAACCTTGTTCAACCTCACCTGAAGTCAAGGCCATAAAGTAAGATGTGGTTTGGATGGTGTGGCTCCTTTTCAGCCCTGCAAAGTATGAATGAAAGGAGGAGGATCTGTTCAGGATAAGACTGAGCAGCCTACTCTCAGGCATAAAACAGGTTTCCCCAAAGGAAGAACTCTAGAAAATTGCCTACTAGTTTTCCTGGGGATCCTGGGGATTAGGGAAGAATTTAGATTTAACTAAAACTCTTCTAATCCTTTCAAATTATGTGTTTATGGTGTGTAGTTGTATTCAAACTGGAATGAACAGCAAAACATTTAATTTTCTAGGTAATAACACTAAACTGTGTCTATTTTCTTGGTGTCCTCTTCTGTTCACAACTCTAGATGCTGTTTGTTTTCTTACAGAGGAACTTCAGGAGGATTTACTAGTTTCAATGTGAAACCATGGCATGTGTAAGTTGGTGTTTCCTTCTCCATGAAATATGTTATGTAAAATCTTTTCATTAATTATTTTGAAAAGTTCTACCTGTACCCATTTAATTATCAATTCACCTGTTCCTCCTTTATCAGTGAACAGTGGATCCAAATAACCTAGGTACCCTTTGTGGCCCACTCTTCTCTAACCGGTGTTTATATATTTGACTGGATTATTCATTATCTCTTATGTACCAAATCATATATTAAGATCAATGATAGAACAGTGAAGAAGTCAAGTCCCAGAAAGAAAAGACTTGAACTTCCCTGTCCTTGGATGGATTGGAAAAGAGGATCCCATTTGGCCAAATAGGGGAAGACTTCAAAATTCTCTACATGTATGAGTTATTCTAGGTACATATGATAAAACCTGGTAATGAATGGTCCTGATCTTAATGTAGGTCAAGATCTATTGCTTTGTGAGGCTTTTAGAATTGTAGAGCACTAAGCATAGGACTTTCAAAATATAGGGAACATGGGCTGGGAGTGTGGCTCAGTGGTCAAGCATGTACTTAGAATGCATGAGGCTCTGGGTTCTGTCCCCAGATTTGTCTATATAAGTATAATGATTCTGTGGCAATTATATATGTATACATAGTCACCACATCTATATGTTTCTTGGTAAGGATCCCTTAATGATGAGTGTCATGGTTATTTTATTACTGACTAGGTTTTACTGACATTAAATAACTCTGATATAATTCTGGATCATCCTACATTATTATCTTCTAACTTAGCAACTAGGAAAGTGTTCAGTGAGAGATTTATGATGGCAGTGAAAAGTCAATAAAATCATAAGTTGAAAGAAACCA